CATCATCAAAGCAGCCTAATACTAAGGTCAACTATTCATCTCTCTAGCTTAATAACTCATGACCAGCAGAAAGTTAGCTGTTTACTTGACAGAGGAGGGAGCTGCGATCCGTCTTCACAATATTTACACCTCCAAGGTTTGGTCCTTGATATGGATCTTTGGCTCTAGTCCTGTTCTTCCTCTTTCTTCTCCAATGCACCGGCACTGCCCTGAAAGGCACTGCTGGCAGAAAAGCAAGTGCAGCCCTTATGCAGCTGGTAAAAATACAGGTTTAAAAAATTGGAAGGGAAGAGAGGTCTCGAGGAGCTTGTAATGACTGGGATCATTGTACCTCCCTAAAATAAAATCCCCTCTCCTCTGTAAAAATTGAAGTAGTTTGTTTGTGTTGTCAAACCCCCAGGGTATTTCCAGCTGGCAGGAAGGTTCTATGGAGAGACAGATACCTTTCTCAGAGGCAAGGGACAGAGGTTCCCTGACAGTCCTCATTATACGTAACAGTCTAACCAACAGCTGAATGACCTGTGAGTGGTTTCTCCCTCTAGATTAACCACAAACTCGCACAGAATCAGGTAAGGGGACAACTGCTTGCTAGAATTAAGCCAGTGGGAAAACTGAATAGCATTTTCAAATAAGAGAATCTAGCTGTTATTCTTCATCTTTTTGGGGGCTGCTCAGTTCCCTTCACTTCCGCGCTGTTCTAGCCTATCCATTCTGGTGGCTGCAGGAAGAGTACTTGATCCCTGTGGCCACTACCAGCTCAAGGTATTGGAACAAAATGTTAGCAAATGTGGTTATGCTTTTATTCACTTTTTGCCTTAGTATATTTTTGGAGTCCTTTTGACTTTTCAGTCGTATCTGCGGCTATTCTACTCCCCCCTCCCCAACTTTCTACATTTTGTATCCAAAGAAGTTCACTTGTTTTCACTTGAGATAAGTTGCTGCTACTTTTTATTGAGCACTCAGCACATGCCCAAGAAACCTCTCATCATAGCTACCCCAGGGAAGCAAGGCAAGGACTTTCTGTCCCAGGTCTGTTTCTTCACTTGTGTTGGTGCAAGCAAACTGCTGTCCAGGGTCCTGAATGAGCAAACAGAAGAGCTCTGGACACCTTTTATCCCCAACTGGAGGCAGTGAGATTAACCCCCTTTCCCCTTTGGCTTTCAGGGCTCCAAGCATCTTCCCCAGCCAAGGGGCCAGACCTTCCCTTAGGTCACCTGAGAAGTCTTCTGTGCCTTGATACTTAGTTACTCACAGTACCTCCACTGCTAAGGTGCTGCGTATGCCAGAGGGAATAATGACCGCCTCTCTGACAGTTTTCCTTTCCACTGCCACCTTCTGACTCATGCTGAATTTCTCACTCTTGTTCCTACTTTCACTTCTCTCTGAAAATGATGGGCCTCTCCTTTTTATCTGAATGCCTGCTTGGAAATATCTTTTTGTACCTTTGCCCTTTATAAGAGAAGGCTAATTATTAAATGTATTTCAGCATGACTATCCATTAAGAAGCGCTGTTAGCATTTAAATATATTTTTAAAAATAGATTTCAGGAAAGCCAGTAATCAATGTTACATTCTTGCAATACTGGATTTCTCTGTGTGCGCTTTCAAATGTATAATTGTAGTAGTCACTCTGTTAAAAAGTGATGTGTCATGGGACAGAACTAGGGTGTGATCACATTATTGGGAGTAGGGAATAAACTTTATATACAAACTTTCAGAGTTTATCACTGTATATCAGACAATTAATCACTATGCCACAAAAAAATGCTAATGTACCTCTGTTTCACTGATGTCATCCAGAAATCCCTCAAGAAGGTTTATCTTTAAGTTGCAGAGCTTGCATTCAAGAAGCCTATTGTGCCTTTCTAATTTTTTCTCTTCCAGCAAGGCCTCAATTGCTGCAGCTTCCTTTTGTAACTTTCCCATGTCTCTGACAACAAAAAACACACAAGACATGTCACAAGATCTGGCCACTTTGGCACATCCTGTGGGTATATCTAGATTAGATTACTGCAATGCACACAACATGGGGCTGCCCTTGATAAGTGTCTGTAAACTTCAATTGCTGCAGAATGCTGTCGTTAGGATGATGACTGGAGGCGGGGGACCCTACCACTCTAGTCTCAGCCAGTCTACAGTGGCTCCCAATTTGCTTTAAGGCACAATTCAAGTTGCTGGTGTTGACCTTTAAAACCCTATATGCTTTGGAACCAACATACCTGAAGGACTGCCTACTCCCTTATGAACCTGCCTGACCATTACAGTCATCTTTGGGGGCCCTGATTTGGTTGCCCCTGACTTCTAAGACTAGGTGGGTGGCAATGCAGGAGAAGGCCTTCTGCCAGCAGGTGAAGACTTTTTTGTTTTATTTGTAATTCCCTCAGCAATCTATACTTCCTGACCAATGTTTTAACTGTTGCTTTTATGTCTTTGTATGTATTTTAGCTCTGGTTTTGTTTTAAAAGAAAAAGAGGAGATTGGATTTATACCCCGCCCTTCACTACCCAAAGGTGTCTCAGAGCGGCTTACAAACTCCTTTTCCCTTCCCCTCCCCACAACAAACACCCTGTGAGGAAGGTGGGGCTGAGAGAGCTCTTGACAGAAACTGCTCTTTTTCAAAGACAGCTCTTATCAGAACTATGGCTTGCCCAAGCTCATCCAGCCGGGTGCAAGTGGAGGAGTGGAGAATCAAACCCGGTTCTCCCAGATTAGAGTCCGCACACTCTGGGGGAGGGTGGGGTGTTGGTTGGTTCGAATGATTTTATAACATGATTTTATTACGTATGGTTTAATTTGTTAGCCCCCTTGGTAGCCCTGGTGAGGAAAGAAAGATAGGGCATAAAATTTTTAAACTATAAAAATAAACATGGCAGTCAAATTTTAGTACTTTATTATATTGATGGCTTTCAGATATATGGTCCTATCAGTAATCTCAAAGTATTTTAAATCAAAGTTTAAAACTCAGGCTCTGTAATTTAAACACTGCACTGTCTCAATTACTTCTAACTCTTCAGTAGCCTTTCTAAAAATTTCTTGCTCATCAGTCAGCTCTAATGACGAGATTTATTGTGTCAGGCAGTGAGAGAAGAGAATAATAATGACACTGTGTAAGTGCAGAGTCAATTATTTAAGTGGGACCCTCTACTTATATCCAGATATACGCTTCATCAATGCTATTAATAGCTTTCATTAAAAACAAGCAAATAGCTAAGACATTACTGGCCCTCCAAGTTCTGCCATATCTTCTGCTTAATCAAAGAGGTCAATATTACTTCATGCAGTTCATAGATAGGGACGGACATGAACTGGGAAAATGTGGTTCGGTTCATAGGTTGTGCACAGTTCACAAACCACAGACCATCACAAACTTTTTTGTGTTAGATTAACTGGTTCAGGTTACGATGTGGTAGAAGACCCCCTCCCCACGTGCTAGAGAGACCAACCTCGCACAGGATCGCTGGATGACTCTCCTCTACCTGCCCTCCAAGGTTGGTGAGGATTGCATTTACAGGTTCCAAGTTATGGCCCACCAAAGAAGGTGACCCCATCCTCCACTGTTTCCAATGGACTAAGGCCAAATCACAGAATCTCTCAATAGAAAATGAAAGTGGGGGGAATTTTTGCAAGCCCAGCAGAACCAGTACCACTGTGGCACTACAAATGCAACAGGACTAAGAACAACCCCTTTGGGGAAAATGTCAGGCAAAGGTTCAAAAGTGTATAGAATTGACCCTTTACAAACTACACACACCAAACGCACAAGGAACCTCACCCTGCTGCCTGCTCCTCTACAATTTCTCCAAGTTGGGGGTAAATAAATTTCTGGGGTTACAGACCCCCCCCCCCCCAAGTCTCCCCAGTGCTCGCTCTGGAACAGACAGCTGCACTTACAGAAGTATACAGAACAGCTCATGACAAGCTAGTGACACCAAACTCACAGGGAAACAGACCCGCCCCCCCCCAACCAAATATTGGAAGCAAAGCAAGCATTCCCCCTATGCTCACAGCCATCTCAAGTCTCCAAAGGCAGGTTCTGAAGGACAGAAAGGCAGACATACCCAGAATTTCGACAGGGGCTCCCTGAAGCTACACCACAAAAGCTTGACAGGCGCCCCAGCCCCACCAGACCAGTGGAAATCAGAGTTTTCCATTTGATCATGAGGCAGATGTTGTTTTATGAGATAGGCGTTGGGTGAGGGAGCCCACACTCACCCAAGCACCAAGGGTGCAACCCGCAGGCTGCATCACTCAGAGAGGAGGGATGGGGGGAACAACAGGAGGCCTGGATCTTACCCTGTGAGGTCCAGAGAGGGGTATCCCAGCAGGGGGAGGCTGACCTTCAGGAAGGCCAACTCATCTACTTTGGCTGGGTCCAGGAGGGAGCGGTGGGGGCTGAGAATGTCTCCCAGGTGGGAGAACACCTGCTCGATCTGGACACTGGTGGGAGGGCAGTAGAGGAGATTCATAGCCACACAAGAGAGGTCAGGCCAGATGACAGCCTTGCATGACAGGTACTTCAGGGGATCAACAGAGGTGGGCTCAGAGGACTCACTGAGATACTTCCTCGCCATCACCTCTGCTGAAACCTCCGTCAACGCACCCCTGGCAGCCGTACCGCTACTGACTTCCCAGTTCACCACTAACAACCAGTACCGAGGCTTCTCCCTGGATAAGCACTTTGAGACAGAGGTGCTGGACTGCAGCTCCCCCTCCCCCCCCTTCACCCACTGTTCCCTCGGGCCACATCTGCTGCCCTGTAGCCTTCGCACTTCTTTGCAGACCTCATGCTTCCATTATATGAGCTCTGCATTCCAGAGAGCAATGCTGCTTTTTATCCGGAGGTAAGACATACAGAGACAATGCAACCTGGTAGTGATGCCCACCCACAACCTCTCTGTTTCCAAGGCTGGAGAATCCCCCCCCCCCTCCCCATTACATTGGAGTTTTGTGAACAGTTTAATTGAGCGGAGGCAGTCTGTCTAGAATATGTACCCATTCACGAACCACCACAAACAGCACCAGAAATGTTTGTGCCAGGCTTCCTTCCACCAACATAGCTTTGGGATCCACAAAATGGCCAAAATTCATTATGAACTTTAGTTTGTGCCCATCCCTAACACAGTCCCAAGCAGCACAGGCTGTTATTTCAGTGGCTTCCCATTAGACTAGATTTCACTACTGCTTTTCCCAGTGCAAAGAGAACTTGAAGGTGGTACCAGACACTGTGAAGAATCAGCATCTGTAGATTGCTTTGTCAACTACAAATTCACTTTCCACACTTGCAACTGAACAACTGAAGGAAAACTGGAGCACGTGAATCTCCGTGCATCACCACATTCAAGTGTAAGTATCATATCCACCTCACTACAAGAGAGACACCTAGGCACACTTTTTGGAGGCCGCAACAAGGGTATCGTGCAAGCTGCTCGCACATTTGCCCCTGCGGTTTTCTCATAACACTCAGTTAACACTGTAGGCGCACACAAGAGATTCCACAAGTACAGCAACTTTCTCTTTAATGTAAGTGTTTTGTTATGCACCAAAATCAGCTCCAACAGTTGAAACAATTCAGCTGTTATCAAGAGGAAAGACCTCAAAAGCTGTGTGTACAGAAACTCCCCCAAGCAGCCCTTTGGCTGCTGCCCTCAGTTACTCTTCACACAAGCATACAGTACTATGAACAAAGTTAGAATCTAGTGGCACCTTTAAGACCAACAAAGTTTTATTCAGATGTGAGCTTTCGTGTGTACGCACACTTCGTCAGACAATTAAATGGAATTACATATAAATGGAATTACAGAATACAGACGGTGGCTTGTTAAATGAGCATGCAAAATAGTGAAGATTTTTTAAGAGATAAAAAGAATGACAAGCTTGGTTTCTTTGTTGGTCTTAAAGGTGCCACTGGACTCTAACTTGCTTCTATTGCTTCAGACCAATATGGCTGCCCACCTTAATCATACGGTACTATGAGTAAGTGCAAGCTGAAATCTTTATATAAATGCAACATAGTAATTTTCCTCAAAATCATTTTAAAAAGGTAAGTAATGAAATTAAAGCATACTATTAATTGCCAAATTAATTGAAAGCAGGAGAAGATAAAGACCCAGTACAAGACGGATTGACTCAATAAAGGAAGCTACGGCCCTCAGTTTGCCAGGCTGAGCCAGGCTGTTCACCAAGAGACATTTGGGAGGTTATTAACGGATTAGGTCGCCATAGGATGGAAGCGACTTGATGGCACTTAGCACACACACATTAATTACCTATTCAGAGTTAGCAGTATCTTCCTTGATTCCTCCACTTGACTCTGAGCTTCTGAAACCTCAACTTTCTTAACATTCTGCCTTTCTCTAAGCTGCTGTAGTTCTGCTACAACTTCATCTACCATTTGTAAAAAATTCTTCTCTTCCTATGTAAGAAAAGATATTTGTAAATAAAGAACTGTATTATCTAAGAGAATAAACATTGGACTCACCCTCAGAGTTCTTCATTGGTGCAAGAGCCCACTCTCCTATAAACTTCAAAGACAGGGCTATGTAAAGCAGCACAAGTCTTTTTAGAGCTTTCCAGATCCTGTGGGAGAGGGGCCCAAATACATGCTTTCAATAATGAAAATGTGGAAAACGTCTTCAAAACTTTTTTTCAGTAATTTCAAAAGGCAAAATAGGAATAGGTTCCCTGAAGAAAACTACTGCTCACTGATGCTCCTTGGAGCTCATGTGATCTTCAAAGTGGTCTCTGTGGTTCACACCCATGGGATTCAGTGCGCACGGACTGGATCGATCAGCATTGTAGCAAGCTCTTTAACGGATTTTTGCGCCCAGACCTCGGGCATGCGCAGGAACCCCACCGCGCATGCCCAGAGGGGAGGGCGCGGACATCCCGCCAGTTTCTTTCTTACTGCCACATTGGAAAGACCTTTTCTCCATCGGTTTGATCGGTTCGCTGTTTTTGGCTATTTGCCTCACGGCTCTTTGGATTTTTTCCTCACTTTTCTCCTTTTTTCGTATTACTTCTTCGTTACCTACTAAAATTAAAAAAACAAAACCACTTTTATTTTTCCTGAGGAGGGAAGTTGCCGTTTACCTCAGCTTGGCCTTCAGGCTCTACCTCCCCCTTCTTTCTTCTCTGCTCTTCTTGTTTTATGGAGAAGAAGTGTGGCTTTTCTAACCAATGTAAAGGCTGCGGCAGTAAACTTGCACCGCTTGACCGCCACACCCTCTGTATTTTTTGTTTGGGTGAGTCTCACCAACCTGAGTCTTGCCAGCACTGTACTAGGTTTTCGAACCAAACCTGAAAAAAACGAGCTGCGCGCCTCAAAGTGGTGTTACTTGAATCGGTGCTACATCCTTCCTCAGCGATGGACTCCGAGAGACCTTCGACCTCGACGGCTCCGGTATCGAGGCCTGCCTCCGACATCGCCCAACTGACGTCGAAGCCTCCGACATCGAAGGAGCAACCCTCCACCTCCACGCCGGTGAAGAAGAGGCCCAAGGCAAGTAAAAAGTCCACAAAAAAGGGCTCCTCTAAGCCCCTAAAGGTGGCAAAGAAGGTGAAGGTGGTGGCGTCTGCACTGGGCTATGCCCCTAAAGTGCCCCCCGTTCCATCGACATCGGAGATACACGCTCCTCCACCGATACCGACCATTCAACTTTTGGTCTCTACTATACAACAACTAGAGCATCCTTACTCCGACATCGAGAATGTGGAGCTCCTAAGTCACCCCATGGGTGCAGAGCCTTCCCTCTCTCCTTCTTCGTCGTCGACATCGACAGTATCAGAAGCTCCTGACATCGATACAGGTCGGAATCGACACATTTCTACTAGCACGCAGCGTCAACCTCCACGTCTGCATGTCGAACCTGTTGATATCGATGAGCGAGTTTATAGGGACAAAATCATCACAGATGGAGTGGACTGCATCTTAATAACCCCATGGTGGCAGAGGCAACCATGGTTCTCGACCGTCCTCAAGTTGTCAGCAGGGGTCTACCATCAATTCCCTCTGGCACAGGATCTCCTCTTCCTGTCCTCCTCTCCTCTCCTGTACCACGACATGCCACGGATGAAGTTGACTGCCTGGAGAATACTGTCAACACCTTTTCCACCCGCGTAGCTAATGTTTTATTAAAAGCAAGAAAGCCTACTACACGGAAGTCCTACCATTACAAATGGCAAAGGTTCTGTTCCTCCTTGGGTGACGATGCCCCTCGAGCCACCTCCGTGGATCTCAAGAAAGTTTTCCAATTCCTCCTGTCCCTCGCTGACTTGGGACTCTCTCACTCCTTGTTAAGAGTTTATTTGGCCGCACTTTCAGCCTACCATGTTCAAGTTGACGGATGCACACTGTTTTCACATCCGCTTTCAAAATGTTTTTTAAAAGGTTTATTGCATCTCTACCCTCCTGTCAAAACTCCTGTCACTCCCTGGGACCTTCCTCTAGTTCTTCGTCAGCTCACAAGGAAACCCTTTGAGCCACTCGCAACTTGCAACATAAAATTCCTGTCGTGGAAGACGGCCTTTCTGGTTGCTGTCACCTCTACGAGGCAAGTTGGAGAAATACTGGCTTTCAGACATGACACGCCTTACTTGTCCTTTTTGCCAGACGGTGTCTGCCTTGTACCTGACATCTCGTTCCTGCCAAAGGTAGTGTCAGAATTCCACCTACAGGCAGAGGTCTTCCTCCCGGATTTCTTTCCGGCTTGGACATCCTCAGAGGACAGACTGTTACACATTTTGGATGTGAAGTGGGCGCTCCTGTTCTACCTGAACAGAACCCGCCCAGCAAGACGTGACTCCCAACTGTTCGTCTCGTACGCACCAGCAAAGCTGGGGACTCGCATCACAGCTCAACACCTCTCAAAGTAGATTGCGGGGCTCATCCGCCTCTGCTATCTGATCGCCAAACAACCATTGCCTGGCCCTATCAGGGCCATTCAACTCGAGCTGTTGCGGCTTCCACTGCCCTTCTCCAGGGAGTTCCGTTAACGGACATTTGCAAAGCCGCTACGTGGGTCACGCCTAATACCTTCATAAGGCACTACGCCCTAGACGTCCGTAAGAACTCCAATACAGACATGGGACATCGCATTCTATCTGCAGCTACACAGTAAGGACCTGCCAGCACCCTCCTCCAGGTACGCTACTGCTCGCTAATCTCCCATGGGTGTGAAGCACAGAGACCATGTCAAAGATAAACAGGTTGCTTACCTGTAACTGATGATCTTTGAGTAGTCGTCTGTGTATTCACACCACCTGCCCTCCTTCCCTGCTGCTGTCAGCTTCTAAATTTCCAATAGGAGTTGATTCACGGCGGTATGAAGGAACTGGTGCGATGTCCGTGCCCTCCCCTCAGGGCATGCGCGGTGGGGTTCCTGCGCATGCCCGAGGCCTGGGCGCGAAAATCTGTTAAAGAGCTTGCTACAATGCCGATCGATCCAGCCCGTGTGCACTGAATCCCATGGGTGTGAATGCACAGATACCACTCGAAGATCATCAGTTACAAGTAAGCAACCTGTTTTTCTTTGTGTAAGATATTAAGAACTATGAGGAGGTCCCACAGATGGAAAGTAGTAGATGGGGGGGCCCTTAAGCAGGATTGCTCCTTTATGCAAGTGATATATATAAGGGTGACCATATGACAGGGCTGCTTTTTCTGCTTAGAACTGTGGAGAGGGCTGCAACCTGTCTGTGACATGTGTTGGGGCAAAGGACTGAGCCTTGGTATTTAATGCTCCTTGGAGGTGCTGGGCTGACAGAGGCAAGTAGGTACATTTCACCCTGCTGAAGGAAACAAGACCATGTGCAGTCATGACAATTTGCTGTGATGTTGCTCTAAGCAACTTTTTAAAAAATGTCTTGCTGGTGATCAAGTGTTTATTTATTTATTATTTTTGAGATGTTTATTCTGCCCTCTCCAAAGCGGGGCTCAGGCCGGATCACAAAAGCGAAGTCCAAGACTCATTACAATAAAATCACATTAAAACAGTTAAAAACTAACAATAAAAATCATATAGGTTGCAGAATTTCATAACTGTTAGAGCCACAAGTGGAATCAGTGGGCCCTTTCAGCAAGTGGGAGCCAGACTGAGAGCAGGGAGGCCAACTGTGATGGAAGTCTGCCTCAACCAAAGGCCTGGCGGAACAGCTCCGTTTTGCAGGCCCTGTGGAACAATAAAAGGTCCTACAGGGCCCTGATCTCCAGTGGGAGCTGATTCCACCAAGCTGGAGCCAGGGAAGAAAAAGCCCTGGCCCTGGTCGAGGCTAAGCGGACATCCCTCGGGCCAGGGGTAACCAGCAGATGTTGATCCTGTGAGAGCAAGTCTCTTCGGGGCACATATGGGAAGAGGCAGTCCTTCAGATATGTCAGTCCCAGCCCATTCAAGGCTTTGAAGGTTAATACCAAAACCTTGAAACGATCCGGTACTCAATTGGTAGCCAGTGCAAGCAGCAAAATACCAGCCGAATGCATGTCCACATAGGCGATGCTGTCAGCAGGCGCGCTGCCGCATTCTGGAGTACTTGGAGTTTCCAGATCAGTCTCAAGGGCAAGCCTGCGTAAAGTGTGTAAAGGCTTTTCTCACCTTCACTAAGGTTTCTCAAAACAAAATTCAAAAGGGAGAGGGAAAATGGTCCTCTCTGTTACTCTCACTAAGGGGGTAACCAGAACAAAAATAAAAAAAAACACTACCTCAAGGGTAGTCTGCCACCAGGTCCCCTTCAGGCAGTTTCCAACAGCCAGGAGACCAAGGGACCTAAGTCTCCCATCCAGTTGTACTGGAGCTCCCAAAACAAAACAGCACTACAGGGTGTAAGGCTGCAGGTCAAAAATCAAAACAAGACAAGAGTTTTCTTAGTAGTAGCTAGACTAGGGCTAGGCAACAAGATTTAGCCTTTGAGACCTGTTAATACAAAAGATTTGGACAAAAAGTTCAAATAAAAGATATTTTAGTTTATTGGGTGCACATAACACATAAGAACAACATAAGGCTAGTGAAGGATTACAAAATAAAAATTCTAAGCTTATCCAGCCTGACTGAACTCTGAAGCAAGCATATTACCTTTCCACATATATTCTTGGGGTAGGGGTCAGAAGCATGACCAATACAGTCCATCAGGTTCCAAGAGTCAGGAGCATGATTGATGGTTCGGATAACTGGACCAGAGATAGGCTCAGTCATACAGACCAGCTAGCCATTATTTAACTACAGACATTCTCACAGGAAACTGACCCCTCCCTGGGGTTAAGACAATATCTGATCATAATTCAGAACAGTGATGTCAACTTAAGTGGTTGCCATGCCAATAACAACAACATCATCATCATCATCAACAATAATAATTGCGATCATCAAAAGGAACGTATTACCAAGATTCATATTTCTGGCACAAAATATACCAATCATAAGGAAATTTAAATACTTTAAGGACTTTGAGAAGACATGTAGTAAATTTATATGGGAAAATAAAAGACCAAGAATTAATAGGAAGTACATGCAAGATAAAAAAGAAGCAGGAGGGTTTGGAGTACCTAATTGGAATGTGTATTATAAGGCCGCAGCACTGATGTGGATAAGAGACTGGGTAATGCTGGAAGACTCTAGGATGTTAACACTTGAAGGGCATAACTTGCCCGTAGGTTGGCACAAATATGTTTGGTACGAAGAAGGGAAATCACCCAAGAATTTTACAAATCATACCATAAGGGGAGCATTAATGGAAATCTGGAAAGAAATTAAATTGAGACATTACCTAAAAACACCTAAATGGGTAGCACCAATGGAAGCGGTAACACTTTCAACACTGATGGAGATAAGAAGGAAAGTAAAATATGAAGATTTGCTTGATGAGAATAACAACTTAAAATCAGATGAACAATTAAATAACCAAAATATAAAACTCTCATGGTGGGAGAAGACCCAATTACTGGCAATTTATAAGACAGACAAAAAAAAAAGGATTTTAAAAGGAAAAAAAATGAATTGGACAAGATATGGCTGTCTTCCAGTGATAAACTTATTCAAAATATATATAAATTACTGATGGAAGAATGTATGATGGGAGAAATGGTGAAAGGTACAATGGTGACGTGGGCTAAAGATATAAACTGTATGTTAGAACCAGAACAATGGGTTAAAGTATGGAGTTCAATAAAGTTAATGCGGGCAATACTATATAAAGAGAACATATACAAAATGTTTTACAGGTGGCACTGGACATCAGAGAAGATAGCCAAATGCTATGTAATACCTAATAGAACTGTTGGAAATGTAAAAAAAACGTTGGTACATTCATGCATATGTGGTGGAGGTGTGATAGGGTACAAAGGTATTGGGAAAAAGTATACCGAATGTTAAAGGAAATAACAGGAATGCAAATACCTTTCAAACCAGAGTTAGCTTTATTAAATATAATTCCAGATATATACAACAGTACAGAGAAATACGTAATTATATACTTCTTTACGGCAGCAAGAATTTTACTAGCTAAAGTATGGAAAGAAGAGAAAGTACCTTCAGAAAAAGATATACTTGAAAAAATGTTGACTGTAGCGGAGATGGATAGATTAACTTTAAGATTACAAGGGAAAAATAAGGAGATATTTGAAAACCGATGGAAAATGTTTTATATGTGGATAAATAATGTAATTAGAAAAGACTCACAAGAATAAATGTAACACGAAGATGTAATGTAAATAATGGAAAATGACAAATAAACTGTTTTAAAAACAACAACAACAACAATAATAATAATCTTTCCATTTATTGATCACTCAATCCATGCAGAGCTGCCGGCTCTGAGCGATTTACAGTTACTCCTGTATTTCACATGGGACTAACAATGCTGGGGGTAAGGGAGGACAACATATATCATTTGAATCACACACATTTCATAGTTGACAGAGTTTGGTTGGCTGTAAGGTCCAGACATGTTCCGGCAGCATTCCTTTTTTCCCCCCCCGCGTCGCTTGATGTTGTCAGCATTGTCTCAGTCGCAGCGCACCACTGCCACCGACTGACCGAATGGCCTATTGCAGGCTTTTCTTCGACGCTGCATACATCTTTCTCGGCTTTCGGATCTTACACGCAGACCATCGATCGGCTAACACAACCCCCACCGGGGGGGTTTTGTGTGCCCATTTCTCTAAGGAGTGGTACCCATTTTATCTACTCGCTGAAGCTTTCGAACCGCTGGGTGGACGGCGAGCTAGGGACACGGACTGGCAGCTCACACCAGTGCGGGGCTCGAACTGACAGCAGTCCTGTTCAGCTCAGCTGTTTAACCAGAGGATAAATCCCCTGTGCCACCGCTTTTATGGAAGGAGGTACAATGATGTTGTAAGTCATGTTAGGCCCCTCCTGGGAAGAAAAGTGGGGTACAAATGCCTAAATAAATAAATGGTTCCATACTTTCTAGCAGACCTATAATGATATGGCCTTACTGTATTTCAGAGCATTGTAAAACCCATCCGTTACCTTTTTTAAGTGGACAATCTCAGTGTCATCTTTGTAAATAGTCTCTTTCAGCATATTTGTCTTGTTGACCTCCTTTGCTAGATGGCTAGATATATATTCAAGCTGAACAACTAGTCGTGTCTTCTGGTTTTCAAATTCAAGTCTATAAAATCACAACATAGCAATCATTCAGGAAAAGAATAAAAACTGATAAAAATGATGAATATCAACATAGAAATGAAGCTGTCACTTCTACGTGTCTATTGTACCATAGAGTAATTTGTAAAAGGCTTGAGCCTCTTTTCTTCTGCTGTAGAGGTTCTGAACCTGGAATATGCACTACTAGTAACCTAATGACAAACTGAAATTCCATTTTAATGCTTACCTCTTCTTGTCAATTTCTTCCTGCTGTTGCACATGTTCTTTTTCATAGACACGAATATTTTCTACACCAATCTCTTCACAGAATTCAAGGAAAACATTGTCTTCTACCTATCCCCAGTCACCCCCCCCAAAAAAGAAGGCAATTAAAATCCATTTTTATATACAAGTTCTTTCTCATTGTACCATTGTCCATGCTTTAAAGCAATTTCCTTTCAATTTAGGAACACTGCTCAGGTACACAATTTTGTAATTCCTTCACAGAATAACTAAAAGGTAAGAAATCTCTGTGCGCATTTTCCTTCTTAAAAAACTGATTATTCCACACTGCCCTTCAGGCATACTGAAAAGCCTGGTAATTACCCTGCAAGTACTGTTATTTTTTTCCCCTAGAAGAAATCAGCACCCAAAGAATTTTACCACCAGCCTGAATTTCTACAGCAGTCATGCAGGCTTAATGATATAATTGGGATAATGACATAAAAGGGACCAGCAACTTTGTATAATTAAATAATCAAACTACATCAATATTCAAAGAAATGGGTTAGAGCCAAGAGGCAACAAAAGAAAGCTCATTTGCATAACAAACTTAACATTCACTGTTAACAGAGATGTTAATAACCCCAAAAGTTTCCAGAGCCCAAACACTGGTTGTTGCCAGCCCTTTATGTGGCCCCACCTACTCCTCCAATATATCCTAACTTAAAGGGTGTGCATGTTCAGTGCCATTAAGCTGCTTCTGTCTTTTGGCAACCCTATGAATTAATGACCTCCAAAACATCCTAGTATTAACAACCTCGTTCAGGTCTTGCAAACCGAGGGCCGTGGTCTCCTTGAGTCAATCCATCTCATGTTGGGTCTCTTTCTCTTTTTCTGCTGCCTTCAACCTAGCATTACTGTCTTTCCCAATGGCTCCTGTCTTTCTTTTCTTGAGCATCACACTTGTTTCCATACCATGCCACATTTGGCTCTGCAGCCATTGGTTGTGACCTCTGAGGTAGGCTAAATCATGACAGGAATGGGTATTTGATCGAGGTAAGTTGTGCTGTATACTGCTGGTTTCTGATGAACCCTGAGGGTTCCCTGGAAGCTTACAGAAGGCTCCTTGATGAGGAATCAGTAATGGCAAGCAAGTTTCCCTGAGAAGCAGCTTGTGGATCAGTACCGACATTCCCCTGCAACCATGTAGGCACAGGCAACCACATGGGAAATGTTACGCAGCAAGGTCTGAAATGTCAGCATGGTGTAGTGAGAGCCAGCATGAAGTAGCAGTCAGAGTGTTGGACTAGGATCTGGGAGACCCAGGTTTACATCCCAACTCTTCCAAAGAAGCTCACTGGGCAATCTTGGTGGGCAAGTCACACACTCGCAGCCTAACCTAATTTCACAGAGATGTGAGGATAAAACAAAGTAGGGGAGAATAATACCATAAGCTGCTCTAGGTCTCCACCAGGAGAACAGAAAGGTATAAATATCTAAATAGATAAATAGTGCAGGGATCAGCAACCTTTTATAACTACTGAGCCAAACCATGTCACAATCCAGAGGAGGAGATCAAGGTTGCAGACACCTGCTCTAACATGTTCTCTCCATTTCCAAGGTGCACGTATGTGCATGTGCTGTGCTTTGTCTGAACAGACTGCATTTTAAAATGTATCAGAGAATTCTTTGCAAAACAAGGGATTCCTCAGCAAATGAATGTGGAAAGGTTTCCCTAAAGATATATAAAATCTGCTGATTTAAAGAACTGCCATTAGCAACTTAAACATCTACAAAGATGCCACGAGAGCTGAAAGTTTTACCTCATTAATTTTCTTTTGGAGCTCATCAATTTTTCTTGCTCTTTGCAAAACTCCTTCATTCAGCATCTCATGCTGTGACTGAATATTTACCAATTCACTTTCCATCTTAGATTTCTCCTAGGTAGAAATAAAAGATAGTAATATTTAAGGTTAACCAAACAGAACTGCTGCCTAATCTGACAGTTGTAATTATCTGTTTATAGAGCAAAATTGTTTTCTTCTGAAACTACACCGTTGTAATACGAAGCACTGGTGGCAACAGCAATGAAAACCTTCTTCTGAGTTGCAAGAAACAGACAAGTTCACGATCCAAGCTCGTTATTGAGCCAGTTTGGGCTCTTCAATTTAAACAAGACAGAAGTGGCTTCCTTTGATTAATTAGTGAATAGTTGGGCTGCATCCTGTGAAGAGCTCACCTTCCAGGAGAGGATTATCTGCAGCCTTATACACCCCTACTATGCATGCCCTAGGCTATCTGACAACAGAGATCATTGAGGCATCGTTGCCCCATCTCATGTTACCCAAATAGGCGGTTTCCTAATTAGTTGGGGGAATTACCTTTAAAGGAGACAAGCATGAGTGAGTAACTGGGATTCTCCATCAATGTTTATGGGGATTTTTCCCTTAAGAGAACTCTCAAAATAAACCAGGCAGATGTTCAACTGGAAAGATTTTTTATTGAAAGAAAATAAAAGGATAAAACACGCATACTGAAAACACACACAAGCTAGCTAAGAGGAAATCAGGGATGAAAGTGGAAAAGCAATTCCGGGGAAGGCTAAAATTACCAGTTACAAAGAAAGAGGTCTGAGGAGGCAGCAGCAAAACAATCAGCATTTCATGGAGAGAAGGAGAGAAGACCCAACAGATTGGAGGCATGAGTATGGATCCAGGAACACACACACTGCACTGGTGGCTAAGTGCTCTTGATATAGGCCAAAATCCTCCCCGGGGCAAACTGACGTCTTCGCCCCAAAAAACAATAACTTGATGGGTTTTTGAGGCGGACAGTGATTTGGGAGAGGCTTGATGGATTTCCCTGAGGTGGACTATAGGTGTTAACGGGGCTTGATGACCCTGCAAGTACTGGGTGGGAAAACTACTAGGTTTGGTGAACAGAATTAAGAGGTGCTTAATTAGGATAAATGAGGGCAAGGAAGTGAGTCTGGGACGGGTGTTGATGAGATTAGCCCAAGAGGAGTCAATAGGTTCTTGGGAAACACACTGTCCTAAATCATGCATCTCTCCAGGATGTAAAGGAGGTCATTAGCTACCCAGCCACTCTCACTTCTAAACTACATGTCCAGACTTGTTTCTGACTAGCATCCATTTTGTGTCATTTTGGGCCAGGCCATGTCTTTGCACTTCTGATATTTGAGAAGATATTTTAAGAATGGTGTTATATGCTATTGCTAGCTATAAACTGCCCCTCAGTGAGAGGAGGGGTCTGACTGCTAACAATCAGACTCCATAAATCACAAACAAGGAAAACAACAAGCCAAAGGGAGGCCAGTTTTGAGAGCTCTCCTGACAATGTCAAGCCCTTCTTAGGTGGAATCTGAAGTCAACTTGGGAAGAATGAAGGATCAGAGCACAAAATTACACAAGAGAAATCCCACTTTGGAAACTATATATGCAGAAATGATAGCCACCAAAAGGAACACCTCAGGTAATGGCTCATAAAAAGCCCTGGCAAGGGCTTCAAGAATGAGGTTTGGCACTTGTGCACCACAGAGGGGGCTAACAGGGAGGCAGCTCTCAGAAACCATTTAACATAAATGGTTGGAACCTGTTGGAGGTACATGAATCTAAAGAAAGCACAGAGCATAGTGCTGTTATCAGCAGGCTGTTAGGCTTGAGACTCAGCTTGGAGAAGCTCTAGCACACAGTGCAACTAGCCTGCCAGGAGCACCAGGGACAGAAGCACTCCCATGTGCCCTAAAGAAACTCTGCAGACTTCTTTCTGGCCAAAGTGTTTAACATATGAGAGCCACCTGCTCTATAGTAGAGATCTGGGCCATGAGGTGGAAAGAGCATCATACCCCAAGGTCTGGAGTAGTGATGGGCACAGACCAGCTCAGGAACTAAAACTCATGATGAATTTTGGGCAGTTTGTGGTTCACAAAGTGAAGTTAGTAGTTCACAAAGTGAAGCACAAACTTTCCACAAACTTTCAAGCTGTTTGTGCAGGTTCCTGCTGGTTTGTGAATGGATACATTTCCAGACAGACTATCTCTGTTCAACCTAAATGTTTACCAAACTTCAAAAGAACAGGATTTGTTGGGACTCTGTGCTTTGAGAGCAGTCCTTTTAAGCTTGCAATGCCAGTGGAACTGGGTTCTACTAGACATTCTGCACATTGTAACTGGTTGTGCTGGACTTGCAAACCCCCACCCCCTTACTTGGATTTCTTGTGACTCTGCTTTGAGATCAGTCCTTTTAAGCCTGCATTGCCACAGTGGCACTGGGATCTGTTGGGTATTCTGTACACCGAACTGGTTGTGCTGGACTTGAAAAAAATGGCCCCACCCCTTCAGTTTGTACTGCAGGGATTCTCTGGTTTGACATTACTCATCTTTTGTTTGCATTGCCATTGGTTGTGTTGGTCTTGCAAACCCCCCCCCCCACACACACACTTGTTAGACATTAGTCCTGGAGCTGGCATTGCCACAATGGCACTGGATTCTGCTGGTCACTCTTTGATTGCACTAGTACTGATGGGCACTCTGTATATTGCACTGATTCTGCTGGGCTTGCAAAAATGCCCTCCACCTTCAGTTTCTACTGCAGCGATTTTCTGGCTTGACTTTAGCCCTGTTGAGTTTGTACTGTCAAAGTGCACTGGTTCTGCTGGGCACATTGCGCTGGTTCTGCTGGGCTTAGAAAAAGGCCCTACGTCTTCAGTTTCTACTGCAGGGGTGGAAACTAGTCAACTGGTCAAAATTACTGATTTTACTGACCAAAATTCAAAAGAAACCCTGTCCAAATCACATGCACCAAAGGTTCTTCTTTCTGGAACATTCCAGTGAACTTTGTAAATAAGTGGGCACTTGTGCAACAAAACATCACCTCTGCTTTCATTGTCTCATGTTTTAAGAAGTTAATTATATTTCTATACTCTGTGGAAGATTTCACCGAGTCACTTTTACTCTTAGGAACAAAGTCCTTAAGTACTTCATAACTGCTGGCCACTGGTCAATCAGTCTTGCAGCAGCACTCTATAGTCACAACCACCTAGAAGAAACATGTTTCAAGAAACAATGATTTGGGATACTGATATCTCTTTGAATTTTTGTGAAATCCTCCCATTGTGATGGCCACCCTTCAAAAAAATCACGAAGAAGGAAAATTAAATTTGATGCATCATCTCCCAGTTCTGCCACGCCCCTACGGAACACATTATGGACTATATGAATGTTACAAGTGCCAATATCTACCATAGGTTGTCTCTTTGTCAAAATAAGATAATCATTCATGAGTTTAGTGATAGCAAGCTCTTTTAACTGATTTTCGCATCCAGTCCCTTGGGCATGCACAGGAACCCCACCGCGCATGCCCAGAGGGGTGGGCGCGGACATCCCGCCAGTTCCTTTCTTACCGCCGCAAATCAACCCCTATTGAAAATGTAGAAGCTGACAGCAGCGGGGAAGGGGGGCGGGTGGTGTGAATGCACAGATAGCCCCTATAAGTTTGTGATGGTTCGTGGTTTGCAAACTGGGCATGCCACAAGCCACAAACCGAATTTTTCCCAGTTCGTGCCCATCCCTAGTCTGGAGTCCCTGAAGAACTCTTGACACTTTACCATTGCTTGACAGGGTCAGTAGTTTGAAGGAGAGGTCAATATGTTGAAGGTGGGGGTTCTGTAGCACTCAACCACCCTGATGTGGAAAAGAAAGAACAAACCATCCTCTTACCTCACAGGCCACAAAAACTCTCACTGTCTGTAGATATAGGACAGAGCTGCAGTGTTTTTCTGTATGGATTATATGTGGATGGCAGGCAAGGAGAGAATGGCTTGTATTTTCGGTTCCCGTTGGCTTGCCCTTTGTAAGGACCATCCATTAGCCCCAACTCAGCCCAACAAACACAAACACCAGCAAGGAAGCAACAATAACAAGTCACAAAATGGCTTCTTTCAGGGCAAGAGGAACACAAACAAAAGCTGGCTAAAAAGGGGAGAGCTGACTGCAAAGGCCCAAGACTTGTGAAAAAGTGACTTCTTCCAAAAGAAAGGAAAAGGACTGGGGGACAAGGGTTCGTGGTATGCAAACTGGGCATGCCACAAGTAGAGGCAGCTGCAAGACGTGCTGGGTGTCCTCGCTAGCCAAGCTTTCACTGTTGCCCAGCTCAGCTGCATGCCACTACCTGGGTTTCTCTCACACTTTTATACTTAATACAGTGCCTCCAGCCAACCCCTATCTTATTAAAACAGAATCTTCCTCCTAGAGGACAGAAGGATGATCAACCATGGTATGGATCATGAAGGGTAACAAATAGGGAGAAGGTAATATATTTTACACATATATGGTTTAGGAACAAAATATATACACATTCATTTGAGATACACACACACACCAGAAAATTGTTTCTCCTAAAAGTGAAGCATATTTCTACAAAAATGCAATACATTACATATATGTCCTATGTAAGTGAAGAATTAACCAACTGTAACTTAAAATGTCACAGTTATATCTGAGAATTACAGCCTATATTACAGAATATATAAGGAACAGCCATCTGAGTGTATGATGCTACCTGGGAGAAACTGGAAAGACGTTTCTTCTCAATAAATTCCAGCTCACTCTGTGAATATTTCTGTCGTGTTTGAAGTCCTTGACACAGAGCCTGTAATTGCTTTAAGTCAGCTTCCTTGCGCCGGATTTTCATCAAGTCCTAAGGAAGGAAAGTGATACAATATGTACTTTTTAAAAAGTAGGTTTTTTTCAGTTGAAGCTACTAACACTTGGATACATTAATATGCATCACAAAAGAATATACAAGAGTTTTGATAGCCTGCAAATAGCAACGCTTATACAGTTTTTTTTCTGACCACACATACCAAATCTGTCTCTCAAGTCCAACAAAGGCCCTGGCCACACGGAGAATTTGCCGTGCGAAAGGCATGAATGTCGGGCGGATTTTCGGGGCGCGATCACACCGCAACATCTGGGAAGTGTAGTGCACCTGTGGCTAACCCGTGGCATCCCGCCAAACATGCGGAGTTAAAAAGTACCCAGGAAAGTGCACTAGTATCCGGAAAATGTGCGGCACAGGCGGGCGTCTGATCGCAGGAGCACTAGTATCCCGTGACATCCGACGCCCGTCCATGTCCCATCGCAAACCGGATGTTTTTTGTAAGTGCATGTGCACAAACACGAAACTGAAAGCAGTGCTGCTCCATGGAACTGTGCATGTGCACCAATGCGAAACACTTGTGTGATCGCGCCATGCCACTTCTTTGCCACGCTGCAGCATCGCCGTGTGATTGCCAGCTAACAGCCTAAGCACGGAGACTCGGGGGACTGTGTGATCGGGCTACCGCACTTTATTTTGCTCCGGGGCGAACAGCCACGCCTCCCCCCCGTGTTATCTGGCCCATGTGATCGGGGCCAAAGAACACCAAACCTATGAAAACTGATTTAACTGCTACTGTTACCCCAAATGCTACATGTCACCCAAAAGGGCCTGTCTCCTGTTTTTATTAGGAGAATTAGCAAAGAAGACAGAGGCTTGCGAGACGGAGGCAACTAGCGAGATTGGCTACCGCTGTTTACAGGGATCTTTCCCCATTATAAACTCCCAGAAAAGAACCAGGCAGTTGCTTAACCAAGAAATGGTTGCTTTACTGAATGAAGAAATAACAGATAATGCACACATACAGAAATAAATACACACTGGAAAGAAAACACACAAGCTGATAAAAATATAGGAGGGAGAGGGAAATAGGAGGGTGTTAAGGGGGGTGATAGCTACCTGTCCAGAACAGCAGTGATCCGCGGAGAAAGGCTGTGAAACGAACCAGCGTCTCACAGAAGGACCCAAATGGATTTGGGGGTGAGTTGTCACTAGGCACTCAAGACAAGACACACAGCACTGGAGCTGTGTCAGTCCAGTTACAGGGCAAATTGCTACCTGGAGGTGTGGTGATTTGTTTGCCCCTTGAAACAAAGCACTGATGAATTTAACTAAGAATCTGAATAGCATTCCCAGGAAAGGACAAAGGAATGGGAGATGTCTTTAGAGGAGTTCCTAATGCAAAACAAAGTTTGAGTTGAAGCACTGATTGCTTCCTCTGGTGATTCAGAGTGCTAATGGTTTCCAAACTAATCCAAAATCCAAAATACTGCTTGATTACCCTTTTTTTGCGTTGGATGGGAAATCGTTTTTGTGAGGGAAATGTGGGCAGGGGAAGATAACGTAGGGTGGATAGGATTAGATAGTGTTAACTCTGGGGTGAGGCAATTCTATTGTTTCATCTTATGCAGATGCTAGGGTGAAGGGAGGGGTAGCAGCATGGTCAGACCAAGATTTTACACCTTCCCAGGGTCCCTGCCTAGACATGTAAGTGAGGCCTGCCATCCTGTCATCCATCTTGTGTACAGTCAATCCAAATTGCATGGAATATGAAGTCCTGGGGTGCTATAAATGAAGGGTGCTCATTTCCAAACAATCCCTCAAGCAAAGAGAGGTCAGTCATCTTACACCACCATATAACTACTGCCAGAATACCTTATGACAGTTTTCCCACAAGAAAATCTTAGGCACATAATTTTACTTGAAAGGATTAAAATGTTTTTCCTTTAAAAGAAAATCAGTATGTGACTTTATATGAAATATTACATTTATTAGAAATCCACAAATCAATGAAAAGGGATGCAACCTAACCTTGTTTTCCCAGACATGGGCAGAATTAATGCTACTGGAATACTTCTATGAGCAAATTCCATGCAATGTAGTATTTAGTACAGTCCTTTTCTTTTAATAATAAGCAACAGGTGAAAAAGACACCCTCCTCATAGCACCCTTTCTTGGTCCCATTTGGTCCTCACCAATGGCTTTGATATTTCAAAAAAATATAACTACATGAGATCCATGAGATCTTCTGCCATATTTAGTTTGTGACTCAGAATATCACCAATGAAATGAGATTACAGTATTCTCTCTTACACTGTTAAGATACATAGATATTTTAAAGTTAGCTATACCTTTAGTTCATTCATCAGATTTTCTCTTCTCACTTTAAGCTCATTTATTTCTTTTTCATCCCAATATCTAGCCTTCATTTTCAAATAACTTGACCCTCCAGAGATTAGTCCAGATTTCAAAAATAAAGTTCCATCAAGAGCCACAGTCTGAAAGTGAAAAGACATTCGGTTTTCCTGAAGAGATTCATACGTCTAAATGATACTTAAAGCACTTGCAGTAAATCAGTAGTTCCTAGGAAATGTCAAGAAAGTGAATGCATAAATAACTACATATATTTTGCTGGATTCTCCCCCACCCCAGCAAAACAGAAATTTGCAGCCAGCAAGATTCTTTACAACAGAAACATTTTACAGAATTCATTTGACTGTGAAAACTGTAAGGTTTAAACTAGCCATGATAAACCAATGACCAATACAATTATTTCTTATATTTATATCCCACTGTTCAACCAGATGGGTCCCAAAAGCAGTTTCAAGTCCAAAATTCAACATAAGATAATGATAATTTCAGCCACAGTTGGCAATGAAGCAACTTGTAGAAGTCTGACAGACAGGAGAATTGGCATTCTTCAATGGGAAAAAAGAAACAGATGATCTGGGTTGGACCCAGCTAGCTTTTTCATTCACTCACCCAATTCCCCTCCTTACACCAGCTCTCGTCCCACATATTTTTGTCCATGCATGTCTCTTGATTTCCAGTTTATCTGGTTTTGTGGTAAAAGGAGACCCCTCCTTCCTTTTTTACTACCATTGGTTGAATCCAACCATTCCAAATCTGAAGTCCTTTCACCCAGCTGCTGCTGAGTTGGAGGCAGCAGTAGGACTTTCTTGCTCAGGCCACACTCTAGCTCTTCTTCAGCCACCCTTCTACTTCCTGAGAGCAACAAGAAGCTTTCCTGATGACCTAGACACTACAGCTACCCTGCTGTCTATAGCAGCTCAATAATTATTGACAGGACTGCTAGCATCATATTTACAAAAATTTTCAGTTCATTTTCAACCAAAGCCACTACAGAAGGAACAAGCACATTTAAAATAAAATGTGTAATACTTAATCAAGTCAGATTCATGTCTGAACTGATATGTATTCTATTCCAGCTGTACAGGGAGATTATGGTGTGGGTAACAGTCAACCATGCACCCCCAAACCTTCATTTTGACATAGTACAGCCTCAGGAATGCTATACCACATTATTCTTCTGAGTACGTAGATCAGCCTTTTATAATAAGATTTTCCACTGGTTTTGAAACTCAGGTTATCATGCTTACTTTCAGTCGCCGTGGTCCATCAAAGGCTATCTGTCTTGCTTCCTTTACAGTTTCGCAAATCAGACCATTCCCACAAACAAACTGAATTACTTTCTTCAGGGGAGAAAAAGATGTCTGTATGACATCAATCATCATTTTAGTTCCTTTTATTTCTCTTAACTGTTCATTGAGTGGTTCTACCTGAACATTTAATGCAAATTATAATTTAGAAAAGTAAATGAAGTATAATACAGGGATCTCTTATAATAAACTTTAATAAATGAGCCACATAAACAACACCTTCCATGAAAAAATCAAACATGTTTTCAAGCACAATTAAAATGAAAATGGGAATACGCATTATATGATGGCCACCAAAAGGCAGCTGTGGAGGGAATGACAAAGCATATAAAGCTGGGAATCTCTAATCTTCATAGAGCAGTGGTGGCGAACCTATGGCACGGGTGCCAGAGGTGGCACTCAGAGCCCTCTCTGTGGGCATGCGTGCCATCGCTCCAGCCAGGCCCAGACCATCATTAAAGTGTCGAATTCTCTGCCAAATCATTTTAAGTAAACGAAAGCATTTGGGATTGCTTTCCTTACTTTGTTTGGATCATCTTAAATTAATCTATGAGTTGTTTTTTCTAAAGTAAAACCTCAGTATTCAGGTTAAATTGTCGTGTTGGCACTTTACGATAAATAAGTGGGTTTTGGGTCGCAGTTTGGGCACTCAGTCTCTAAAAGGTTTGCCATCACTGTCATAGAGGAACAAATTTTTCCCAGAGGCTTACAGCATACCTTAAATATTTCTGAAGCTAAACTGAACTAACAGGAGTTTCCTTGAAGAATACTTTAAAGTGAAAGTAATCATCTAGCTCTGTAAATAAAAGACTCCCTAAAGAAAATAAATAAAAAACCTACCTCAAGGTAATCCAAAGGAAGGAATGTTTCTGGCTCAGCTCTCTCTTCCTTAAGGAAACGGATACAATTTCTAGCTACTTTTTCTGAAGCAACAATAATTGCATTCATGTACTTGCCAAAAAGTTTGGTGACTGCAAGTTGGTATTTTTTATGGATAGGATGACACAAATCAACCAGCCTTCCAAACTACATTAAAAAAAGAACAAAGAACCACTTGATATGTTGATGCATGCACACAGAACAGCGTTGCGAAAATATGGGATTCACTTCCTATATCACCTTAAAAACCTGGACAGGGTTCTGCTCTCTGCTTTGAGGATCTCTCTCTGTCAGACCAACTGATTTTCCATATCAGAATGTGGCTGGGATAACATATATCTCAAACAATGGCCGTGTAGTAGAAGAGATTGGATTTATACCCCACCCGTCACTATCCAAAGGAGTCTCAGAGTGGCTTATAACCCATTTCCCTTCCCCGCCCCACAACAGATTCGGATTCTGGCTTCAGCATGGTGGAACAACCTCAGCAGTCAAGCAGCGTGGGAGTGTCTGCCCAGTGCTGCACTGCTGGCTCTCCAGTCCACCCATATGGGTCTTCCTTTGCTCTCCCCTCCCAGCCCAGGGGGCCTTGCAGTGAGGACACAACAACCTGGAGCTTACCACCTGCTTTCCTTTATACAGTTTATATTTCTGGTACCCGACATTAAGTTTTATGGAACACATGGCCCGGCCTGACAAAGTGACGTTTACGGCCTTGTCTATGGCCTTGTAACAAATGAGTTTGACACCTCTGTTCTAGGGGTTCTTTAGACCAATGAAGAAGTGGCTGAGGTCCTATGAACCTCACATCAAGGGTGTGCCCACTGGGGTAATCCACTTGTACCCTTCATGGGTCTGACTCCTGACTGATTCAAGTTAGGAAAATAGCACAGGGGTGGGGGAGAGACTGAAGCCCCTTCTCCACATACATGCCACAGACATGAATTGGGCAGCATGTATGTGGAAACTGAGAATAACCTGTAAATCATGTATGAACCTGTATACTCTGCAAAATGCAAAGGCCTCCTGCTTTAAGAAGAGCAAAGTGTAATAAAAATTAGCTGTAAGGAGCGGGGAAGCACTCCTTGCTTTTTATCTTATAGAGGAAGAATGCAAGGGGGGGAAGAGATTGCTGCTAAGCAAGGCCCAGGTTTTTTTTGGGGGGGGAAGCAAGAGCTCTGAAGCTCTCTGCAAAGCAGGCAGGACAGCAGGAAGGGGCTTTGGCAGCTGCTAGACATCTCCTCCCCTCTTAAAGGCCACACCTGCTGCAATTCTTATGCCAGAGAAACCATAAGAGAAAATACTCATGTTCGTGACAAACATTACAATAGTATGAGTCCCATTTGTTACCACGTAATCAGGATAAAGCCTTCTGAGGCTCTCCAGGGTCTCCGCTCTCATCTGCTGACGTTTCCCCTCATAGACATCAATTTTAGCATTCTGCAGATCACTGACTATTTTATTAAGTTCCTCGTTTACTTCGGCCATTCGTATTTTTGCTTGTTCTACTTCATTTGTTAGCAATTCTTCTTCATGTTTCTTCTCCAAAAAAGATTTACTACAAAGCAAAGGAAAAATGGGCCAATCAGATTCATTTCTTTCATGTCAATTAGGCAACACTGCTGTGCTTCCAGACTTCAGAGCCCACTGATTTAATGCACAAGTAAACACAGGAATCAACTGCGTGTTTTAATACTGGCATTAATCTAATTCTGCAACATGTCCTTTTTGTTGCATTCAATAGTCTTTATGTAACAGAGACTAAAAGATTGTAGAATTCCAACCAAATTCCACAAAGACAGATTCAAGTGGGTAGCCATATTGGTCTGAAACAGCAGAACAATGTTCAAGTCCAGTGGCACCTTAAAGACCAACAATGTGTTAATCAAGGTATAAGCCTTCGTGTGCACACCCACTTCTTCAGATACAGTGGAATGGAAGTTACCAGTCCGTACATATAGGTAGAGGGTGAGAAGCAAATTAGCATATAGCATAATAAAATGTTTAACAGATGGAATAACAAGCTTAGTTTATATGGACCATTTCCGCACAAGTGCAAACCTCCGCATTGGCGTTCTTAAGTAATCAAAGTTTGTAAAACTTTCTGCACAACTTTTTGCCTCCCCAGGAGTAGATCTGAATTTAGTGCCCCCTTACCCCATGTTTTCCAAATCCACTTTTCCTGCAATTTTTTGCCCTTTGGATCTGAACTCACAGTTTTCCAGTAAGGAATTCCTGGTTTGAATTTTGTTTCCTTTGAAATGGTGTCAACCATGCTGCTCCCCACAATATATCCAGCCTTTTTAAAACAATGTTATGATGTTATAACACTACTGCATATTGTCAAAAACTTTGGTTCATTCAAAATGGATTTCTGTTTTAACAGTCTGATTCAGTCTGGCTGTGGCTTGCCTTTGTTAAGTCTTCAAAGCTCCACAAGGACATGCTGTAGAGAGGAGAATGTCCTTGTACCTGCAAAGATAAGGTGTTCTCTCCAGCCTTGGTCTCCCAATTAACATTCCAAAGCAATTAAGTCCCTATATACATAGGGGTAATTCCTTCATAATGTTGTTTAGTTCTTTTTTATATTCCTGTGTTAGATCGGCCCTTGGACACTTACCGTGAGGGGTCCTTCTCCTCTGAGGACAGGAGGACATCTCCATTGGGTTATTCCCATCATTCCTTCAGGGAGGCAGGAAACACTTTTTTCTCCTTCCTTTTGGCGCCTTGGGAATAGCCCCGCCTCTCAGTTCGGGGACTCCGCCAGCAGTAACAAACACTAACTAGGTAACTTCCCTATAAACAAACTTCAAAATTAGAACTATATTACATACCACCCCCAACTGTCAAACAGAGAGGGTAGGATAGACGAAGGATTGCAGCATATGCAGAGGGAAGAAAAGTTTTTTAGCTCCAGCAACAAGAGTTATGAAAAGAAAAAATAGAGAGACGAAGATGAGAATGAAGAATGGGAGGGCCGAGATGTCCTCCTGTCCTCAGAGGAGAAGGACCCCTCACGGTAAGTGTCCAAGGGCCGTTCTCCCTCTGAGGCGGAGGACATCTCCATTGGGACCTCCCAAAGCAGTGTCCCCTATTATACGGGTGGGTTCTCATCTTCATCTGTTGCATCCAAAATGTGCTGGAGCACTCGTCTTCCGAAAGCTGCATCAGCTGATGCGAAAATGTTCAATTTGTAATGGCGAACAAACGTTGAAATTGAGGACCATGTCGCTGCTCGACAGATTTCATCCACTGATGCCCGATTGTCCAATGCTGCATTGGTTGACGCACTTCGTAAGGAATGCGCTGTGATTCCCTTTGGAATTTCCAGACCCCCGGCCTTGTATGCCTCGACAATACAAGATTTGAGGACCTTGCTGATGGATGACTTAGACATCCGTTCACCTCGTCTTGGTTGTGAAATATTAATGAACATATAGTCTGTCTTTCTTATTGACTCAGTTCTAGAAATGTAAATTTTTAGCGACCGTCTGACATCCAACGTGTGCCAAACCCTTTCCGTAGCATGGGTGGGGTTCGGACAGAAGGTTGGGAGGTAGACTTCCTGAGATCGGTGAAAAAGAGAAGACACCTTAGGCTGAAACGTTGGATCGGTTCGTAGGACGACTTTGTCCTTATGAAAAATGCAGAGTGTAGACCTTATAGAAAAGGCATTAATTTCCGAGACGCGTCGAGCAGAAGTGATGGCCACCAGGAAAATGACCTTCATCCTTAACCAACGCAAATCCACCTCCTTAAGGGGCTCGAAAGGAGCTTTGGTGAGTGCTGAGAGAACCGTGTGGAGCTTCCACGTCGGAAAGCGATGAATCTGTGGAGGAGATTTGACGGAAGCGCCCTGAAGAAACAACAGGATATGTGGATGTTTAGAAACCTTGTATCCCCCCATCAGGGGAAGTACCGTGGCGAGGGCTACAGTTTGTCTCCGAAGTGTGGAAGGCTTCAGTCCTGATTCTAGGCCATCCTGTAAGAAGGACAACACTGAAGCTATAGATGGAGATAGTGCTGCTACCTTCTTACGTTTGCACCACCGCACAAAGGCCTTCCAGGTTGTATTGTATATCCGTATGGTGGATTGCTTCCTGGAAGCTAAAATAGTGTCTAATACTTGTGAGGAATAGCCTAATGCGATGAGTTGCCTCCGCTCAACCTCCAAACGGTTAAACAGAGCCATCCCGGATTCGGGTGTAAGATCGGACCCTGTAGAAGAATGTCTTGCTCCCTGGGAAGTGGTAGTGGTGGAAGAACGGACAACTCCCTCAGTGTCGAGAACCACGGGCGACGAGGCCAACTCGGTGCTATCAGAACTACTTGTGCTTTCTCCTCTCGAATCTTGCGGATCGTTTTGGGGATTAGAGGAATTGGCGGAAAAGCGTAGAGGAGCCCCGGAGGCCAAGGAGTGGTGAGGGCATCCGTCGCCTCCGCCCTGTGATGTCGGTATCTCGAAAAGAACCGGGGTAGCTGGTGATTCTCTGCCGACGCGAAGAGATCCACTACCGGGAGGCCGAAGTGACGCACTATCAGATCGAAGAATTTCTGGTGCAACGACCATTCCCCTTCTCTTATAGTCTGTCGACTGAGCCAATCCGCCTGAACGTTGGCAGTTCCCCTGACATGTTCGGCTCTTAATGATGTCACGGTCCTCTCTGCCCAGGACAGGATCTCCAGTGCCTCTCGGTGAAGACGCGAGGATCTCGAGCCGCCCTGGTTGTTCAGGTATGCCTTTGCAGATATGTTGTCTGTCCTGACTAGGATGTGATGCCCTTGAAGGACCTGTTGGAAGTGGCGTAGGGCAAGGCGAATCGCTCTCAATTCTAAGAGGTTGATCGGCAATCGTTGTTCGTCCGTGGACCAGGTGCCCTGGACTGGCTCCGCATCCAGAACCGCTCCCCAACCCTTCAGACTGGCATCTGTATATATCTCCTTGGGCAACGGTTTGTAATAGATCTTGCCCTGGCGTAGATTTCCTAAGTTCGTCCACCAAATGAGACTGGACTTGACTTGAG